GGTTTTTTTTTAAAATAAAACAACTTTTTCCCATGAATTTTTGAGGTGCATCCGTAGTTTTACATTTTAAAGTTGCAACCTTATATAAATTTTCCCTTCTAAAAGCGTGACCTAATTTATTTTTTTATTTTTTTAGCATTAACTTGCGATACATCTCAAATTATCCAATTGAATATCTAATGGTTAGGAGTGATTGTGATTTTTTTATAATAATGATAAATTGTCTCATAGTATAAAATTAGAGCTGAAATGGTTAGGGATATTACTAAACCCTCATGTCACAGACAAATTTTATTTCCAATATGGGTGTCGCGCTCAGCCCACGTAAACTTGCCACCAAATGAAAATAAAGGCCACTCCAAATTGGACACTCATTTGCTAATTTACTTCGTTCCAATTGTTTTTATCAAATTTCCAGCACCACGTCACATGGAATTGAGAAAATGGTGATTTAATGGCACAGCCGGCGCATACATTAACACTATAAATCTTTGATAAAAAAAAAAAATCACAATCATCGCGACCTGTCAAATGAAAATCAAGTAGGTGAGGTATATCATCGGCTGCCCTTGAATTTTGATAAAAATTTCTCAGAGGCTTTATGTGAATAAACATCGTATCCTATCCTATCCAATTTTACATCTGACAGCTCAGGTGTTTGTGACTTTTATGAGAAAAAGTGATCCTTCATTGTATGCATATCCTGTTGAAATGAGCTCAGCCCAACTTCGCTTATTAGTGCCTTTCCGCTCACCTAATTAGTAAGCTAAATATCCAAGCCCCCCAGATAGATTCTATGTTGTCAATGATGGATAACAAGACATAATTCCAAATTTTGTAGATCTTATTGATCGCTCCTTTTGTTCTGTTGATTATTCGACAGGATTCCAATTTGAACAATTTGTGGCCTAGATTTCCCTATATTATGAGCAATTCTAGACAAAATTGTAATTTTATGATAATTTTGTTTTACAAAGTTGGGTATTTGCACCAAAAGATTTTATGATATGCCTCTGCACCCTAACCACCACGCCAATTGATATCTTCTCAGCTTTCATTTCTATATGTAAATAATTGCTTGGAACGCCACTTTATCCAACAAAAAGTAGAAAAGGAAAATGACACATTTACCATTATATTATGTTCCAAGCAATACGCCTCCCTTAGATTCATTTCCGTCTCATATATATGAAGGAAAAATTATAGATACCCCTGGGCCATACTTTTTAGATTTGCCTCACAATTGTTTTTTAAACCACTCCATTAACTCTAGTATCGTTTACTTTTTATATCCACCTAAATAAGAAAATAATCCTTTTTAGGAAGAAACTACCCCCTGTATTTCTCTCTAAAAATTTAAAATTTGAAATTTTAGAAAGAGAAAATATCTAAAAAAATTTAGATAGAAAAACCATCTCAAATTTCAAGTTTTAGATAGAGAACTACCCCAAAATTTTCACAGAAAAAAACTATCTCAAAATTTAAATTTTTAAAGAAAAACTCTCTAAAAGTTTTGAAACCTCGAAAGAGTAAAGGATGAGAAAGAATGCGGTTTATGTGTGGGGGCATTTTCGTCTTAAAAATTACTTTATCGCTCAACATATATACAAAAATAAATAATATTAAGATTAATGATAATAGTTTAAAAAATATTGAGGGTGGGCAGGGGAATATATTTCCCCTTTTCCTTTAGGATTAATAATTGTGTTGGTTGATGAGACCTATAAAATTGATCCAAAATCCATCTTCAAGATAAATTTTGTATAGGTGGATTCACAACAATTAGTGCATCCATGGACTTCAAAGCCCAAGTAGGAGAGGGTTTTTGGGCAACAGCAAAATGTCCTTGTGCGATGCCATGTGTGTGACTGTGAAAAAATTATGGGGTAAAAAAGCAAACCAATAAATACAAGCAAAAAACACGAATATGAGTTAGCACCACAGTATGCTAGGGTGATGTCATTGAAACACCCAGGCTGAGGGTCTTTCCGGTTTTTCAACTGTCTTGTCGTGCATGATGGAGAGGAGAGTAATGGGTCATGAGAGGGAATGATGAGAGAGAGGTTTTTCAGGTTCTTAGATTGAGTGGTTTTACATATTTCGAGAGAGTTTCTAGGTTTTATCTTTTCAGAGAGGATGAGGGGGCTAGTATCGGACCCATGATTGGATCATGTTTCTCTTTCTCTCTCGGATGGTGATGATTCCATGGACTATGGTTTCCCAATAGTCGATTTGATGGCATTGTCGCTTACCATTCCGGATCTCTCCGTCTTGATTCACCTGGTGTAAACCATGTTTTGAATCAAATCGCTGAATTTTGGGGTAGTGATCGAGCTCATGCACAAAAAAACCTGGTGTAAACCATGTTTTGAATCAAATCGCTGAATTTTGGTTTAGTGATCGAGCTCATATACAAAGAACTAAGAAAATGGCTCATTCTTTTCTTCAATTGTAGGCGACAAACATTGCAGACGGGGGTGTTCTTGTGGTGTGGTTAAATAATAACTGGTTCTTCAATCTGAATTTATTGTTCAAAATGAATCGAGACTTGTAACGAGTTTCACACAACCATTTCTCAAATAATTTGTAATGGTGCGTCTTGTTTGACTTGGAACCTGAGATGGGCTGGTTCTATTAGCATAGATATTTGTGTAAAAACAATTTGAGCGTTGCCGCATTTGCAGAGATCGTGGCGATTGTTGGAGACTTGGAGCTAATGATTTGCCGGAGTATCACCCATTTATGAGTTATGACTAGTAGGGGTGGTAATGGACCTGATTAGATCCGGGACGTGACGGGTATACCCAACCCTGAGTTCGGGTATGGGTCCAAATTTTTTACTCGAAGACTTATTTGAGTTTGGGTTCAGGTCAAGCTGACCCAAACCGTTCCTGTAGTCATAAGGTAATATGATAAAACTCATGTGTCTTTAGATGCACGCTATGTGTTTACATTGGCAACATTTACAATATTATTTGCAAAAAAAAAAAAGCAGCTCATAGTCATAAGGTATATGATGGTTAAAAAAAAAAATGGCATAAAGAAAAAACGCATGGTCATAGAGTGGCAATGGATCCGACCAGACCTAAGATCGAATGGGTAGACCCGAGATCTGATAGGTTTGAGTATGGATCTAAATTTTGGACCTGACTACTATTTAGGTCCAGTTCCAGCCGGACTTGACCTGTGTCCGACCCATTGCCACCCCTAATGACTGGTTTCAAATGGGTTAATGTGGTTCAGAACATTAACAAAAACAATTACAGCTGGGGAATTTGTATTTTTCTCAATTAAAGGGTGGCATTTAGGTGCGTCCATCGCAACTAGCGTGCAAGTCATTGCGCTAACGTGAAACTGTTTTCTTTTGCAACCACCCAAAGCAGGGGTCTGTAAGCCCACAAAACCACCTTCCCACCCCAAAGCATCTTTTCTTGAATCCTTTAAACTATCAAAATTGCTCAATCCATGTCTAAAGCCATCTTGGACTAGGTACAAAAATTCCCCTGGTGGTAGGGGGTGGGCACGGTGGAGGAGAGGGAAATTGCAGTTAGCTGCAAGAGAGGAAGAAATCAGAAGAGGGAGAAATTGAAGAAAGCTTGAAGAGAGAGAGAGGAAGTAAAGTGAGCTGAGAGAGATCAGAGAGGGGGAGGGGAGAAATCGAAGAGAGAGAAAACAGAAAGTGAGACAGATCGAACGGAGAGATACGGAGATGTGCGAGAGATAGAGAGGGAGAGACGTGGTCAAGGGCCCTCCCCTCTTTTTTCTTTTCTTTTTTTTTCTTTACAAAATAAACTTGAAGAGAGAAATATTTAAAAAAAGGGGAGGGGGAGGGGGAGGGGGAGGAGGAGGGGGAGGGGGGACAAAGATTTTCGGACCGGACCGGACCAAGCCGGCCCAGGCCCAATCCCAGATCCGTGGCATCCCTGCTCTCATTAGAAGGTGATGACCCAATAGACTAGACTGTTTTCATACTCCATCTGATTCTGTTATACTTCACCGTCTATACAGAATTTCATAGGGTGGCCTTAGTGAGGGTCCTCTAATTGATTGGGGAAAAAAATCGAGTGTCAATTAAGGTAGGGTACAGGATAGCAATGTGGCATTATGATGACTATTAAGTTTAGACCTAGATTGAAAACCTGTATACGGCTCAGCTCATTCAGAGAGGTCAGGCATAGGATATTTGGTGTGACAGAATAGACAGCGGAGAGTTTGCCGTTTTGGAACATTTGGAGATGCAATGACTTCATTTCCATCGAATCTTCAAACCCTTTTAGGAAGACTGGCAGAACAGTATCAAACTTAGGTCTGCTGTACTAGAACCATTCAGCATGCTTATGACTGCCAACCAGAATGGGCTCGTCGTCTAGGATGGGCCCAGTTTAGACCAGATTCGAGCTACAAAGTATGGTGAGTGGGCAGTGCTTGGGAAGGGGTTGGCTCATAATAGTTCAGGCTTGGGCTTGGCCACAAAAGTTCCAGCTGGGCCCAGACTAACCCTGGTCCGGCCCAAACCCAGCTCATTAGCAGCCCTATGCAGTCCGGGTTGCCAATTGGATCAAGGTGGACCTGTTTTGGACCGTGTTAGGGCCACCTTGGTTGGCAAATAGTTTGAGCCCTGGCCCTAGATCTATTTGCGCCTGGCCAACCCCAGCGAGGCCCAAGGCCAGTCCTAGGAATGCTGCAAGGGAGAGGAAGGTCCTCGGACAAGTATCAAGACAGGATATATATTCTACGGCTCATAAGCCACTAGTTTAGAGTGCAAGACGCAAGTATTAGGACACACGGGCGAAGCCAAAGGAGGATAATGCGACTCGAGACATCTCATTGAGCCATGGATGTTTGGGCACATAATCCACCCTGACTATAATACTTACTGCACCTTTGTAATCAATAAGTTCGTTACAAGCAAAATACTCTACTCTTGTGAATGATAGAGGCAAATGAAATGTATTTCGCCATGGCCAAATGTAAAATGAACATCATGGTGTGTGAACAAATTGAGCATACAATTGCTAACCTCCTGATTAAAAAAGAGATATTTATATCAGGTGTTCTCCGACCCCATACAGGTGTGGTTCATCACATCACCTAAGCACAGGTTCAGATCTTACCCTTAAACAATCATGAAGAAGTAAACTGGAGAGAGAGAGAGAGATGCCAAGCCTCGTTTGAACATGCAAGCATTAACAGAACTCACAAATACAAACATGGGGAGGGGGCCGCATGGTATGCCGTAGATGCCAAATTAGATATGGGCCATAGCTCGTCCATTGATTCCCTGCAACACTGAGAAATCTGATGGTCCAACTGCATCAACAAAGCCTATCACAGACAATTCAGGCACAGGCATGTTTGCGCCAAGCAATTCATGGTCTATGTATATAACAACTACGCTTATATCATCATGGAAGAATCGACGAATTCCCTTGTCGACCTTCTTCAGATCTGAATACCTCATCTCCCTCTTCCTAGCTGCCTCTTGTAACGCTGTTCTAACAAGCCTTCTAGCTATACCCTGGCAAAAGCAAGCATTACAACAGTTCAAGGTTTCAGAAAAATACCATAGAGACTGCATATTTAATAGCATTCTAAGCAGAGAAACAGATCATATGATTCTATATACGGTCACTCGTGGATTGCATATTTATTATGTGAATCTTTCATCTTTCACCTGTCACTAAAAGCATCATTATTTGATTTTGGCACGAAAAGTGAGAAGTTACTGATCAATATCTGGCATATATAAATGGGATACTTTATAACAAAAAAAGGAAAATAATAATCGAACTCCTCAGAATTTCTTGTGCATGCATGTGCGCTCTCCTTCAGATAATAAATGCATTGAGATTTTTCTAATGCAATTGCATCCCAGCAGATAGGATTAAAACCCCTAACGTCATTTAAATATGTTGCATCATCCACAGAAATTTTCAGTATGGGTAGATACTTTTTCTAATCTCAATCATGAGAAAAAGGTATTAGCTAGTAACAAATCACAAAGAAAGCTTAGCATATTCCAGATAACCCATGTGACAGGAGCACTTAATCAATAGAAGCAATAGATTTATTTGATCATACAGACAGAACAAAAAGATGCAATCAGGTTGCATCACTACTACATCCCGAAGCAGCAAAGCAATGGCAACATAAGGTTGGTTGCTATTTAAAGTACCGCCACTTCAAAACCCCAAAAAGAATGGCGGAATTGTTGCAAAGAGAGGGAGAGAGCTACTGATCTGAAACAAACACAGGAGCTCCTGACAAGGTGACTGGTGTGTGCAAATGAGAGAGAAAGAACCAGGTGATCTTATCATTCTTCTTATAGCATACGTGATCTGTTCTAACAAAACGTTTTTCTAAAGGAAAGAAACAATATTATGCTTCATCAAGTCAGTTATGTAGAGAAGTAGCTACTTACTGCTCGTGGGCAACTGTTCACTATCTCTGCAGCCTCCTGATTGGTGAGATGTTCCCAAAGGCCATCAGATGCAAATATAATAAATTTATCTTGGGGCCTGATGATTCTTGTGTACACAGAAGGCTCTGCAGTTAAGACTGGTCGATGAAGAGGCTCCGAGAGCCGAAATCGCAGGTATGATGGACCTAGCGCAAATTCTGGCCTCTTCAAGTATGCATCACCGATAGACCTGGACACCTACAAGCTTAAGATGTTATAAAGCATGGAATTATGACAAACTGACACATGATGTTTATACAACAGCATTAGAAGAAACCCGAGAGGTTCTATGGATTTCTTTTGATTAAGTAGAAAGCCAATTCTCTCTCTCTCTCTCTCTCTCTCTCTCTCTCTCTCACACACACACACACACACACACACACACAGTTCGTTTGTTTTATTTATTTAACCTCCTCAGTGGTTTAATCGCTATCCTCAAAGCTGAACTAAATAGCTGAAGATTTTAAACAAGAAGAAAAGATGAAATTAGAAAATGAAAACTCATCAAACCTGAATGATGCCTTTGACACGCCATACTCCGTGCTTTTGGACTACAATATGTGAATCATCTGGATGAAGGGACCTAAGCTCTTGTCTGACTTCCTCCATGCACGCATTATGGTCCCTAGTCAATTGCTCTGCAATGATGTTATTTGACCTTTCTAGACAACCTATTACTGCCCTTGAATCGCCAGCATTAGCCACATATAACCTTCCACCCCAAATCACTCCAACGAGACAACATGTTCCAATCGCAGCAATTAACGGTTTCTCTTGCCTTGTTCTACGCACATGGGCAAGAAATCCGTCCTCTGTAGCAGAGAATGCCCTTCGAAGAACATCTTCAGACATCATTCCATGTTCTCTTGTAAATCCTGTAAAATAAGAATCTTTTTTTAACATACCTGTAAAATAAGAATCTTAAACATCGAATTTAAAGTTCCTAAAGATAAATGAAGCAGGCTGTTTCAAAGGCAACAAAAAGATGGAATATACAAATAAATAAGTTCAAATAAATTTATTCAAAATACTGATAACAGGCACATCTTTAATAATATCAAACAAGGTCTAAAAGTGACCAGTTGTTTTCCCTTTTTTATATTTTGGGGAGTTAATCAACCAACCAACCAAAGGTCATACTGGATTCACGAAAGAGAAGGTAAAAATAGTAGCTTGCAAATGGACACAAAATTCGCAAAATATTATAGGAAAAGAAATAAATAAAAGTTCACGGCAAGACTAAGAAACTCCACAGAGTCTCCCACACAGTCACAATGAAGAAGTCCAAGTATCACACATGCAGGGCACCTAAAAAAAACATGCAATAAGGAGAAATCGTCCATAATCATTTCAACTCCCAAAAAACAAGCCCATCATTAATAAACAAGCGATTTGTAATCTCTGTCTTCAATTTCTCAGTAAGTAGTAATTTTATTTAATACAGATTAAAAACGAAAAGGAGTCGAGCGACAGCACTTGAAGCAACATAAAGTTCTATAAACAGAAATCATCCTCGTAAAGAGAAAACATCCTTAGAGAATACCTTGTTAAGGTATCTCTTACAGGGTTGACATCTTATTATTTCTCAACAAGTAATTTTATTAAGTCATCACTAAAAAAGTATGAAAGTAATTATGGTACAATTACTCATCCCCAGATACTCCCATCAAGCTCAATTCTCTTACACTATAACAAGATATATCCAATATGCACAAATGCCACATGAGATCTTACATTTCTGGAGAAGTACCATCTAATATCCATGTGACCCGCACCTCCTCTAATCTATCTGATAATGCTCATAGAGTCAGCGATTGATCCCTCCAGTTTGAGATTGAGGCAACAAGCTGCAATGTTGCATGCTCAGGGAGTATTGATTTTGTAGGGAGAGCTAGAGAGGTAGGGTTAGGACTTTGGAAGAGTCCCAAACTTTTAGGAGACAATGAAGGTTAACAAGGAGGAAGGAATTATCTTAACCCTTTCCCCTGTAGCCATAGCTTGAAAGATAACTCATAACTAACCAATCAGCATTCAAAACTCAAAAACTAGAAGGCAGACTTGTTCACTGCAAAACTGAGTCAACTCACTACGTTAAAAAATTAACGTTGAAAAACCAGGTTGGCATTCTAAACTTTTTGTCTGAAGAATTTCAAAATGCAAAAAACCACTATAATTGGATTTTAACCCAGCTTGTTACAATGCCATATCACTATCCTATGGCATGAGGAAAACATTTCATATGTCCAAATATCACAGGAAATTATATAAGTAAACTCCCATATACATTTCGAGTTCCTTATTAATGAAAATCTCCCACTGTCTAGTTGACTAAGACGAGTTCCTATTCAGAATAATCAAATCCTGCAACTTAAAAAAACAAATTAAAGAAACTCTATAACCATGGAGCTCCAAGGCCCTCAATGGAAGAGCTCTCAGAAGCGAGTGTACTGTATCTTCTACCATGAGTCCCGACTTTTTATGTAACGTGTTTGAATAGTTCACAAAATGAAATTCAAAATAATGGACTAAACCCAGAGGTTGCGAAACTTTACTTCATTAATAATAGCAAACGCACTATCACAGTATCAGTATCCTGAGAAAGGACCCAAGTAAAATCTTCAGTTTGATTCCTCAAACTACCCCTAGAATTCAATATCCTAAACATGATTTGCAGTTTTGAAACTTTGGTTCTTCAGTCTGAGTTCAAAACAATATCACATAAAGATAATAATAACAAGCGATTGTTAAATATGTGAAACTTACTACTGATTTCTACAAAATTAGAAACTCAGCTTCACGTTTTATATCAGTCATAAACCGTAGCCTAAACCTGTGGTACAATGGGTGTGAAAGGACTACTTTGCCCTTAATTTTTTGTTGAATCACAACTTGCGCCTCGAGTCTATTTGAAAATGAATTTTACCCCAATGTTTAGTTTAGAAAAGGGCGAATTTAACCCTACTGTTTCGTTTAGAAGAGGGCAGCACACTCACTCTTCGCCCCATCCGTGCTATTTATCATATAATTAAAAAGTTGATGATTAAATATAACTAGAGAGAGAAAATAGTCTTTTTTTTACTCATAACACAAGTTGGCATTTAGTAAAACAATAGGAGCAAACCTGCCCCTCCAACCCCATCATGAGTCACCTGCAGGGTGAGGGTGAATAATGGTTGTTGAAAAATGTCGAGCTGAGCTTAAATTTTTTTAAAGTTTCACACATTGTAAAAATCCTTATTTAACAAGAAAATCAACGAATAATTGAGTATACAAATTTCAACACCATTTTGCCTTTTTTTCTGATTTTTTCTTTTTTGTTTCTTTTTTCTTTTGCATAAAACCACGTGTCTGCACTTTGCATAACTTGATATCTACAATTGCTTCCATTGATAAAGGTTGCTTCTTCCCGGCATCCAGAAGCCTGAGACAGCAACACCACATCTCCCATTTTCTGTTTGCCATTGTGGCCAAGGTCTTTATCCAATCTATGTCTCGTCTTTACAGCAGCGGAATATTCAAGGGCTTCTGTCCTCCAGGCAGGGAACAGAAATTATACGGCAGTTACACACTTCCCCTATCTTTGGCTGGTCTTCGATGATGCCTCTTCAGTCCAGCAGCTCTTCCAAGCCGCCGCTGTGGCAGACATGCTGTCTCTATGGCATGCCTACGTCTTTGCCTACATGCGCCATTTCAGGCAAAGAAACAACCATACCTTAGGGGAAATTGTCCATCCTACAAGAAGCCATCCAAGATCACATTAAAGTCTCCGCCATCTTTTGCGCAAAAGGGTACAAAGGACTCCACACCTTTGCAATGAGGAACTTGCAACTAACTGAAGGGTAACAGCAAACAGTGATTACTAGGTTGGAGACCCCATGAACTTGGTTCCCTAAAATTTTAACATAAACAGCTGTTCTCTCAGAAACCCTGGCCCACCTGGTTATTGGCGTATTCTTGAAGATCCCTATGGAAATACTATGTTTCCTTCTTGGCATTGTTTACTCAACAAGGGCCGAGTCAATTGTGCTACCAGGACTTAAAAGGACCTTCCAAACTGGAACCAACAACAATAACCTTATTGTGAGGGAGACTCTAACAATGTTATCCTATGGGCCTACAAAAGAGCACATTGCATATGGAGACTTGCACCTCTATTTGACCATGTATTTTTCCTGTGCAGGGACCTATCAGTCAATGCTCGAAAATTCGGCCGCCCAACCGCCTAGGCACAGTCTAGGCAGGGGCATCATGAGTTTTTGCTTCTGGTCGCCGCCCCGTGACAACTTGCGGGCAGCAGAAAAAAACCCTCAGGTAAGGGTAAAATCATAGTTGTTGGCAATGCCTGGGAACTCGAATCGTTTTAGGCACCGGAATCGCAGACGGCTAGAAGATTCAGGTTTTAGGAATCGTTGTCCGTATAATAGGAATCACTAGGAACAAGATTCCTACTTTTTGAGAATCGCATTTCGACCGAAATAGATTCAAGTTTCATCCACCTATGGAATCGGGATTCCCATCCTCCTGGAATCGACACTCCAGGAGTCAATATTCTTCAATATGCAGAGTCGAGTTTTTGACATATGTGGAACATAGATATCTTGTTGTTTTGAATCGTGATTCTAACATATTTGGAATCAAGTTTTTAAAGTATATAAATCAAAGATTCATGCCAATTTGGGATCAAAGTTTACAATAATATGGACTATGGAATGCGTTTGACGACCCTTACCAAGAAACAAGATTTTATTTTTATGGAGAAGGAAGCCACAAGCACATCTGAGCCTCATCAACTTTAGAACCTATATTGGATGTCTCTTATTAGAAAGTTTCCTGAATTTTAAAGTGATTGTGTTGACTATTGAACTTATCGTCATTATATACAAAAGACAAGTATTCTTAAATTGTGATTTTGACTTCATTATTATAAAGACAAAATAGGAGTATGTCTACACCATGCTTTTACTTTTAATTGTATATATTGTATTTATCAATTATATTTTAAATTTAAAGTAAAGGCCATCTAGGGTGGCACAAGTAAAATAATGAAACCCTGCAACCACTAGAAGCATTCGAAGGAAGATTTCTACTTCAATTGATATGGAAACAAGATTTAGTCGTCGCTAGAATCCAAATTCGATATATTTAGGAACATCTACCCGCAATTAATGGGTTCAAGTTTTCAAAGATGTGTTGGATAGAGATTATGAAATTAAGATATCGAGTTTCCTTGGTTTCGATAAATGGTTTCTAAATATGTGTTGAATCAATATTCCGAAAGTAAGAAATCGAGTTTCCTTGGTTTCGAAAACAAGCTTCTAAATTAAGGAATCGAGTTTCCTTGGTCATAAAAAGGGTTTCCGTGGAGATTCCTTAACGGAAATGCCGAATCGGGTTTCAGAATCGGAAACGCGAGGTCGGTGAAGAGAATCCGGTAACTATGGGTAAAATATATAATTTTTCCCCCTTAAAAGGGGGGGAAAAAGCTTTAGGGGTATTCTAAACCCCCAATAGAAATTCGGTGGCCTTTAGGGTGAGAAAAACCTCTCAAACACCACTCTTTTGTGATTTATCGAAAGATCGATAAATTTTTTACTTTTTCTATTTCTTCCCAAAACGAAGGCAATAGTTTGTGGGCAGATTTGAAGCTTCTAATAGTTGATTTTGAGAACTTTTGGTGACCCAACAGACGAGGTTTGCACCGACATCGATTTGATTTTGATATTATTAAAGTATTATCATATTTGAAATAGGGTTATGATTATTTTGCAACAACATATTATGTTATGAATCATGTGTTTTTTCTTTCACTTTTTTTTTTTTTACAATATATTTACAAGTTTGTAGCTAAAAGATTGATTTTTTTGGTGATTTATTGATTTTTTTCTCACTTGGACGATGAAATTGAGCATATATCGTATTCTTTTATGAATAATTGATTCTTTTTTTGTACAATGCGTCTTATTTTGATATTCTATTTTTTTTGTTTTAGTTTATTTGACAAAATAATTGATAATTGATTATGTGATATCTTAGTGGGTTAAGTCTTATGTGAAAATGAAACTAAAATCTTAAAATGTCTTATAGATTCAGTTATTCATTTAAGTCTCATTGTAAAGTAATAGGTAGTGTCTTATGTTTGGAAGGGGGGGGGGGGGAGAGAGGGGGAGGCCAAGAAGACGGTTAAATTCCTTGCCAAATAGGGGGTAACAAGGGGCCCCACAGGGGGCATCTAGATCCAGAACAGTAGACCTGCACTCATACCTCTTTCTCTCTTTCACTCTTACCTCTGTCTTGCTTCTCCTTCTTTCTCTTATCCCATGTTTTTAGTAGGAGTGGGAATGTACATCTATTATTCAAGATCAGTCCCCCTTTTTGATTATGAGGCCTTCTATATTTCCCATTTTTTTTATACTTGTCATGATGTAACGCACAGGTATGTGAGTTGCCAGTTTTTTGGATACTGAAGAATGCACAAAGTTGATTAAGTATAACACAGTCGAATATTCCCTCCATAAAAGAAGGTTGCTTCTTAAAATAACTGTCACCTCACCTTATGGCATTATTCACCTCAATAAATTCTAGAAAACATTTGTTTATGAAGGTGCGGTTCAAAGAGAAGGGCACATGTCTGCCTAAATGTCAGCATCAGGGGAACCACTTGTTTGCTCAAGAATAAAACCAAATGTTGCTTTTGGTCTATTATTACAAAGGAGAACTCCTGTGACTGCCTCAAAATGGCCACTGTGTCACAATCTTCAAGGCCATCCAATATCATCCTCTGGGATGGGATTTACTTTGGTGGTCTTCCCATCAAATAGTAGCAAATCAAAGCTAACGAAGAACGCATAAGCACCAACCAAGCCGATAGTAAGTCACAAAGAGTAGTAAGAAGCCATTGAGCTTGCAGTACTTCGGGTTGGGGGGGAAGGTGGAACTTTCTTTTGAACTTAGTGGGAATTTCTTTGAAAACAGTTAAGCAACACCAAGCATTCAAAGAGGGAGAAATGAGTCAATGAGGATTCATAGTACAAAGTGATGCCTTGTGTGTGTGTGTGTGTTTGTTCGTGTTTGTTTTTTTTTTTTTTTGAGAAAGTCAACTGTTTTGTATTAAAGTATAAAGATGCAATTTGCCTTATGTTAGTCTCGATCCAACAAAATGAAATGTTCGAAGTCAACAATTGTCATCCCTATGTTTGTCATTATCAGTCGGCAAAAAATCATTCACAAAGCACCAGGGTCTTTAGTCTAAATGTAAAACTATGTGTTCATAGCGAATATATTTCATCCTAGTACCATGTTTATGTGGTCACCATATCCTGCCAATAAACATGTAGTAGTCAGTTACCCTAGTAAATATGATTGCTATATTTTTTTGCTAAGCAGTATGTACTATAGAATTGATGGATAGACAATTTTATTTGTTGATAATTAAAGGAAAAAAAAACAAGGACAAATGAACAGAACCAAGTTCCAACCATATCACAAAACCAATGTACTATTTTACTACTTACTCTCCACAGTTCCAAACCAAAACTTTAAGCCTTCTTGTTGATTTGACAATTAAATAGTAATAATAATCCGTTATTACATCAATTCAAGGAGAGATTCCAACTCAATCCAACTGGGTTTATGTTGCCCATTGTTTTCCCCTTGTATTTTAATAAAAACTCGTATTCTTTAACCTCACTGTATTCAACTAACTCTTTTGCAGTCATAAGGGAATGAGGGAACTCCTCCCCCATTAACACTGTTATTCCTCCTTACTATTTGTTCCACAAGCCAAACCCCATCTTAGTGTCTTTTTCTCCGTTTGGCTGTGAAGTACATTTTTATCCCTTTCTGTTGCTTTCCTTCTCTTTGTGTTGCTTTTAACTTTACTAGGGTTTGTTGTTGTCCCTTTGCTCATTATGTTTGTCTGTATTCAAATCATCCTGCTTTGACAATACAAAAGTACTAGGGCAATTTCAAGCCACATTATAACTCCTAAAAAACTCACTCTAAACCTTCCCTCCTTGCCATATGTTGTGCCACAGCAATTCACCTAATGGTAAGGATGTTATAATTACATAAACATATAAGCAGAGGATCAAGAACAAACCAAAAGGAGAAAATTTAAGAACCACAAAAAATAGAAAGACAATGAAAAAAAGGGATTAAAAGAACATAAGAGCCAAAGAGGCTAAAGAGACACTAACATGAACAAACGCTCAAATACTTAGAAGGGCAATCCAAAATTGAGCAATTAATAGTTCATAGTTTTCAGAAGAAAAAAAAAAGTGGAAAAAAGAAGACCCCTTAAATAAACTCGAATACAAAACATATATAACCAACATGCATAAAAAAACCTAAAGCAATTAGTGATTTAAGAAAAAAAAGCACTACTACAAAAGAAACTTTCAAGCCTGAACAAGGTCACACAATCCACACCATACGTTAAACCATAAAAATCCATAACTGAAAACAAACTAATAAACGTGATGAATAAATTAATAACCAATAAATGAGGGAAAAAAAGGAGAGTGATTAAAAAATGAAAATAAGAGTGATTTCCATGCGCATAAACCCAAACATTTCAAACTGAATTGCAACATGAAAAATTACAAACCCTAAAACGTCCTGCAGTAACATGAAAGGAACTGCAGTCCATATCAAGCCAAAAATACATACATAGAACTCAGACAATGTGTTCACGCAAAGCACAAAAATTGAAAGAGGAATAAGATAATAATTGCAGCAACAACAATCAAATGCAAAAATAGAAAGCATGGAAAACCTAAAACATCTGGAATGAGACCAATAACCTTCCCAACCCAAATCAAATGAAAAGAACATTCAAATGATTCCAAATGTTCATAAACCAGTAAAACCACATAGAGGTGAGGAGGGACCTAAAATAATTGCTAAAATACAAAAATTTCTGAATGAATCTTAAGGAGTGGGCAAGCAATTCATATTTTCGATCAGCTCAAATATTTCAAGAAGGGGACAAATCAACTATAGCACCCTATAATAACACTAATGGAACTGCATATTGCATCAACGGATAGCATGAACACAAAAAGTTACACTTGCTGAAAAATTAAGCCCTAAGCTGGCTACAATGATACCAAATAATAACACAATTAAGTAAAACCAGACAAATGCAATGACACCAACTATACTACAAAAAATAGGACAAAGGGCGAAAAACTAAAAAACTCACTATAAAATCAGAAAAATAAAAATCCAAGAGAACTGGCACACAATCCATACATGAGATTAAACCCAAGAATCACAAGCAATGGGGAGAAATGCAACAATCCCAACTAAACAACAAACAATGGGAAAAGGAACAATAGATAAATAAGAAACCCTAAAATCACGGCAATAACAACAACCATACAATAAATTAAGGAAAAACCAACAATTCCGCATCATCATCACCACCAAATCAACCATAACCCTAAACATCCTTGCCCACTTAACAAATTCACAGCATTGACTTACTCATGAGGTGGAGGAAAAGGTTATCCCTAACAAAGCGAGAAGCTTCTGGGCCACCATGGCCATCATAGATTCCAACAAAGGTGCCATCTCTACCAACCTCTACCTGGCTCTGGTCTTCAAGGAACTCATTCGCCTGAACAACTGCAATGGAGAAATCCCCCAACGAATGGCGACACAGGTCCTTGCACCAGAGGAGATTATCACCTTTGTCCTCATCATCCTTGCTCATATGGCCGAACCTCTGGACCGGTCGCCAACAAGCCTCTGCAATTCTTCTCAGCCATGAAAACATCCCTCATTTCCTCAAAGGGAATTCAATTGAGTTGAGGGGAAGGGTTACGAGGAATGAAGGTGAGATGAACAATCAGGTCTAGAGAGAGAGTGAGTTGCAGGTAAAGGGAATTGGGAGATAGATAGAGAGAGAGAGAGAGGGGAAAGGGATGAAAATCGAGTGAGGAGGTTGGAGATGACGATAGAGCAATAAGTTATGATGATCGAAAGTGGGCGGAGAGAAAGTGGAGGTGCAGGAACCTAGAGAGAGAAAGAGGGGCAGTTGCAGGTGAGGCAATCGAAGAGAGAGAGAAATGATCGCTGAAAGGAATCCAGATAGGGAAAAAGTCAGGCAATTGTAGTGAACTCGAGATAGTCAAGCCCGTGGAAGAAAGTAAACTATTGAGTCTAGAGAGAGAGAGAGAGAGAAATAAAAATATAGTAGAGAGAGAAAGGGTGGAGGAAACGGGGGTGAGAGGAGTACGCGGTAAGGAGCGAAATTTACGCGGGAGAACATTACAAAACTACCCTTGCTTCCGGTCTGAAATACCTAAGGAACAATTTTTCATACGGGCTGAACCGCATTTGTACAATATGCGGTCCAGAGGTATAAACCATCCATATTAAAGATGGATGTAAACAGATGGTCTATCTAAAAACAATTATAATTAAGGGTCCAAATATTTTTTTAATATAATTATTATTTTATTTTAAATTTTTATTTATCTTTTCATATTTATGATCTCCATATAAAATATTATATATTTTTTAAAAAATAAAATCAAATTATATTTAAAAAATATATTTATTACCAAGCCCGCATTTGTACAATGCGCTTTTGGCCGCATGCTAACCGCGTCCATATCTAAAATGGTGTCCTAAGCTACAAAAATCTGACAATTGGGAAAAGTGGCCACAACTAACCTGTCAATACGCTGTTGACCTTCGTGTTTGAAAATTAAACAGGAGACATTGTTGTTTTAAATTTTATTTTTTCAGCCATTGTTTCTTATCTTTTATTTAGTTTTTTGGTAGTAATATTACCCGTCAACGTTTGAAGTTGCCTCTAGGAAAAATACTAATAATCAACTATACAGCTCCTCCTCATTTATACTTTTCAACCTACAATATTTAGGGCTGAGAGTTACCTGATCCGATCGGAAACTTGAATTTTGGACCCAATTCGGATCTAGGTATGGATCTTAGATTTGAATATGACTTGGATCGGGACTCAAATATTGCAATTTGGATTGGATCTCGACATAGGTGGACCGATTCAGA